CCCCCCCCCAGAATTTAGTAGGTAGATGGCCTTGAAATTTGATTGCTCTGGCTATCTCCAAGATGTGTCTATGTCTCCTTTCAATCACCCCATTTTGTTATGGGATGTAGGGATAAGAGCTTTGGTGCAAAATATCATACTGTTGAAACAGGTCTTTACAAGATGTGTTAAAGAATTCACTACCATTGTTAGATCTGAACATTTTAATTATTTTGCCAAATTGAGTCTGAATCATAGTAATGAAATTCTTAAGCAAAAAAATCACATCAGATTTAAGCCTCATAAGAAATACCCAAGTCCACCTTGTATAGTCATCAACTAAGGTAAGAAAAAACTTCATTCCATTACGAGTAGTTTCCTTATCGGGTCCACATACATCCATATTGATCAATTGAAAACTACTTAGTCTTCTACTATGGCTAACTGGAAAAGGAACTCTAGTTTGCCTTGCTAAAGGACAAATCTCACACTTATGTAAAACTTCACATCTACTGAAAGTAGACATTCTTCTAATGACTTGCATAGGCACATGCCCCAACCTTTTATGCCAAATGTCCCCAACTTCCTTCGCTATTGCTGTGAATGCTTGATAAGTCCTCCATTTCTCTTGTTTGGTTGCAGAAAGCATTGTGTATAGACCATCTTCCTCTACTAATCTCTATCATCTTCCCAGACAAGAGATCCTGAAAGACAAAGAATGTGAGAAAGAAAAATGCAAAGCAGTTCAGGTCTTTGTCACCTTTGATACAGACAAAAGATTGAACTTGAATGAAGGTACACAAAGAATATTCTTGTTAGTGTCACCTCCTGTTAGATGACAATCCCCAACACGTGTGACCTTAGCCGAGTCTCCTGTAGGCATTTGTACTTGACCTCCATTACCTACTGACATTCCATTATCCAATAATTTTTTATCCCCTATCATATGATTTGTAGCACATGTGTCCACAATCTATTTAGGAATGTTGACATTGCAGCAGAAAAGAGTACCTGCCATTGCTGCTACATTCTGAGTAGTCTTCTCCCCAAGGGAGGAGTTGTTCAACATTTACAAAATTTGAGCATACTGCTCCCGAGTGAACGCATGTGGTGGTATAACTCTATGCTCAATATCCTGTGTGTTGTTGCCCTGTAGTTGTATTGTATGTACTTTCCTCTTAGACTTAAAGTATGTAGGATAACCAAATATCCTATAACAATTCTCCTTCAAATATCCTGTTTTGTTGCAGTAGTCACACTTCATGAGTTTGTAGCAACCATCTCTAGTGTGCCCCTTCATCTTACAGAAATCACATCTCAATTCATAATTGCTCTTCTGTTTGGGTCTAGCTTGAATTGTGAACATAGCAGTAGGTTCATTATGATTAGGCATTCCAAAACTATTTTCTGTCATCATCCTAGGACTTTTATCTTGAATTACCATTGCATAAGCCTGGTTAATGGTTGGGATTGTGGGCATCATAAGTATTTGGCTTCTAGCTTGCTCAAAATTATTATTTAGTCCCATTAAAAATTGGAATAGGCGTTGGAATTGCAACTGTTCGACATCATCTTTAGCAGGTGGTGGTGGAAAAATTGAGTCATATTCAACCCATAGATCAGTCAATTTAGTAAAATAAACTAATACTGATGAAACTCCTCGAGTAGAAGTAAAAATTTCTTTGTGCAGATAGTAAAGTCTAGATGCGTTTACTTTGTCAAAACGTTTCTTAAATTGTGTCCAAACTGATTGTGCACTTTCAGAAAAGAGAGCTCCCATTAACAAATGCTGACTTACATTGCTCATCAACCATGAGGTCACAATCGCATTACAGCGGTCCCATTGATGTGCTAATGTTGGTCCAAAATATGCTTTGGAAGTGGATCCATCAACTAAACATAATTTGTTCTTCCCTAGCAATGCTACTTTCATTGCTCGATTCCAAATTGTGTAATTGTCCATTCCAGTTAACAGTAGACCCACAGTCATCGATCTTGGTCCATCAGACGGATGGAGATATAATTGATGATTATGATTAAGAATTACCGCTCCGCCACCGGTCATACCTGTTCCGGCAGTCGTGTTTTTCGATTCATCATCAATTGCCATGGAATTTGCACAAACAAAAATCAATTAGGGTTCACAAAAAAAACACAGAAGCAGAGTCGATTCTCTCGATTTTCTCTTTAATTATACGAAGAAATTCCTAGAATCACTCCATTGATAGCTCTGATACCATGTTGAATATGTGAATTGCAGAAATTGTAATGAGAAGAAGAGAAGAGTGATTGGGAAAATTTTCACTATTTTTATTAAGCTTCTAGCTAGACTATTACACGTATATGTAGAATTGCTCCACTAACCGCTACAACTAATTAATTGTTGTACATATAACTAACTAACTCTAATTGACAAACTATAGTTAACTTAACTAACTATGGTTAAGTAAAACTATCCTTTAAATCATCGTTACTCATTGTTTTATATTGTATTGTATCGTATCATATCGTTTTATGAATACAATGTTTGGATAGATTATATTGTTTGTTGTTGTTAAATAACTTTTTGATGTTTGGTTTGACTGTGTCGTACTATACTGTAACTGCTAAGTTTATTAAAATATCCTCAATTATTTAAAAATTATAAATTTATTAAGAATTACACACAAAATAAGTAAAGGGCAAATTAGTGAAGGGCAGAACCCGAAGGCCGATAAAAAAACAAAGAAAGGAACGAAGAAACAGAGAAAAAATGGCATAAAGGAACAAAGGAGCAAAGAAAGGGCCGAACCTATTCTTGTTATCTTTGACCGTGAAGTCGGCAACGGCAAAACCAGTTCTGGAAAAAAAGAGACAAAGTTAAAGTATTATAGATTGGAGGTTTGGAGTTAAAATAAAAAATAAAAAATAAAAAGATAAATGGTAAAATAGAATTATGGAGTAATAAATTAAGGCATAATTGGAAGAGAAAAAAAGAAGAAAAGGAAACAATCCCACCACACCAAATCGGTTGTTTCAAAAAATGGAACTTTTCTTAGTTCCGAAATAATGAATTTCACAATACAATACAATCAATTTTAACTAAACAATCAAAACAAATATTATTTTAAGATAACAATACAATACAATACAATGGGTAACAATTATCCAAACAAGGTGTTAGTGTGGGAAGACTTTTTGTTAAATAGTGGCTGTGAGACATGAATGCAAGACCTTTGTTTGTTGTGATCACCTCATATAAAATCTTAAATCATTAGGAGGTCTTAACGAGCTGAAATAATCATGTTAATTTCTTTCAATTGACTCTTTTTTATTTCCCTACTCTTTTCTGTCAATCCCTATTCAATATTCTTGAGTATCAACAGTTGTAGCATCTTGCAGTATTTGAATATCAACAATATGTACTTATACAGTACCTTGCCCATTCTATGCATCCTTATGCATGGACATTTTAATTAGTGAGGGAGCAACACATGCTCTGGGAATTTCATTATTCATCTAAATAGCAGGCCTTAATTGGATAAATTGCCTATATATGTTGATATAATAACGTAACTCTTCTGTCCTTAGATGCATAATGCATACAATAGGGACGAGTCAACGACAGATTCAATGCAAACCTGAAACGGTAACCATTCAAGTATAACTTTTCAATCACTAAATCCATTGCGAAAAAAGAAACTAGGAAAAAAATACAAAATTCGTGATCACGAGTACCATTATGAGCTTCTGAAACTCTGTCAGATATTTCCGGTATAAGATGTTCAATGTTGAAATATCAGCAATCCTATGTACTGCAGCCAATTTATTGAATCTAGGTGTATAATTCATTTGACAAATGGAGCTATAATTTAATAAGCCCCTGGTAACAAACAAATCATGAATGATATGTCGGGTAATAAGAAAAGCAACAAGCTAAGATCATAACCAGAAAACTCAGTAGAAAAAGAGTGAGCCATTTCCAGTAACCCGTCTGGTAATAGATGTTGTTGGAGGATCAATGGTTAAATGAGCTGCATGGAAGAATGATCTGAAGTACAAAATTCCTGCTAATCTAGAAATGAAATAGAGGAGAAAGAAGAAGGGTCTGGTTTCTGGCCATTACAACTCAGAGTGCCTGTTCTTCTCTATCTCATTCTGGAGCTTCTCGAAAACTTCTTCAAAAGGAGGGTCGCCTGGTCTTCGAAATAGTTGGTCCCCTATTTTAATCTCATATGCTTCTTCTTGTTCTAGCAAAAACTCTTTTAACTGCAAAATGGACAAAAAAAATCTCAAAAACTCCAGCATGCAGAATCTCATGTTCTATCACACGCAACTGAAGACACTTCCAATCATAGGAGAGGGTTAAACCAGCTCAAAACATGCATCAAGCATTTGGAGGGGTAAAATGACCGAATACTTTAATGAGAAAAGAAAATAAAAAGGATTTGCATGTGCAGATGCCACATTAAGCAAAAGTTGAGTCAAGTCAGAATATTACAAAATAGGTTAACCATGACAAACAGCTATAATACGGCACAGATTGTGATCATCCAACAATTAGCAACATTGTCACATTAATGTTACCATCCAAACAATGAGAGAAATGCTTCCTGTCATTCATTCTGTTTTCTTGATGATCATCATAACAACACCAAAAAATTAATTGTAGGAGTAGTTCCCTAGCAGATTTGGAAGTAATAATAAACAAACCACATGTTACAATTTGCATTTGATAGTTCCTCCCTTGAACAAAAGAAAAATGGTTTTATCGGCAGCATGCAATGAAATTGATAAAAAATGCAGGATGCACCTCAAGTTGCTCGACGTAATCTCTAGAATGGAGTAATTCAATACCTTTACAGTTATTCTCTAAACGACTAGTTAATGTTTTCAGTCTAATCTTCCCCTGCTACACCACTTCTGTGTGCATTGAGCTTTGAGGATAAAGGGCTAATAGTTAGAGAGAGTTCAGGGATGACGTGAAGCACGTGTAACAAAGGGAAAGTGTTATCTTTTTCTTGCTTTAATCCTCATATTGTTCTCCTTTCCCTCCGTGTTTCTCTGATGGTTCACTTTTCATTTTCCTCTTTTTGAATTCTCCAAATCTGACGATAGAGTTCCTTCAAGTGATTAAGAAAAGAAACTAAAATAGTAAGGCTACTTTTCTGAAAATTGTCGGGGGAACTTGAGATTCAACCTAAAATCAATCTGTTCTTCATATGTGCTGTGTATTCTCCGCCATCATATTCTTAAGTGGTTAATGTTGAAAAATAGACCAACACTTTACGAAACTCCCTAATAGTTTAAGCCTTTTGAACAAGCTCTCTTCTGGAAGCACCAATAGGCAAATTCAGCAGTTACAGAAGAAGACATCTGATTTAGGAAATAAAACAAACCTGTGTTGTGTCTTGACCTTTTTCCATGGTGAACATGATCGTGCTCAAATCAACACCTATGAACTTTGTCTCAATTGCTCCAGTTCTTGCTAGATTGGTCCACCTCTTGGCAATATCAGAAACCTTATCCTGAAAATGATTTTAATTTAGACTAATAAGTTCTATTACCGTGTACAACAATATGCAACAAGAGAATAACATTGACATATCAATAACTAAAATGTTGAGGAATCTTTTTCAATTAGTGAGACTATTTTGTGTAGCTTGAGATTAGAGTGGTAGCTCAGTCATAAAGCTCCTACCTTCTATGTCCAAGTTTTGATCCTTACCAAGTCCTTCTCTTTACCTCCCTCACAAAAAATCAATTAATCACTATGGCTCAATCCCAAACTTGTAGTGACTATATATAGAAATCCTCTATATCTAGTCTCTGTATTAAGGCATATTTCATCCAATATTGTAGAATTTGTCTATTAAGGTAATTTAAAGGCTCTCTAGAACTAGAGATTCTCAATCGAGATCTCACGTTATCCCTACATCAACACAGAAGTTTCTAACTAGACACAATATAATATACGTGTAACAACAACTAAAGCCTTAAGTACGTGATAATAACAAAACTTGTGTCTTAATCTTAAGTCTTAACTAGTTAGTATCGCCTATTCAGATCCTTTGCTTCCTTTGTGTCCTATTCTTAGCTAAGTACTCCATCATCGAAGCCGAGATATTGTAGCTCTTTGAAAAAGACATTCTTTTATAACCAAAAATCTGAATAGAAAAGAAAGATCTCAGTACCATATTCCACAGCTGATCAAAAGTGTTCAATTTTAGCAAAGCGATTAATTTATCAGCTGATTATTATTCCATAATCCAAAACTAATAAGGATATATCAAAGCAGTTAGCATTAATTAAATTATCAATTAATAAAGCATTCAAATTACGGTAAAAAAGAGATACCGGAGTCCGAAGAGTTCCAAGCCGGAGCTTAACGAATCCGAAAACGGGTCCTAGAACCCGCTTCATCATTTCAGCTTGGATATCCTTCGGGCTCATTTTGCTTACATCATTCGTTGGCGGATCGAATTCGGAATTGGCGGATTTCGTGTTGCCCCATTGTTTCCATTGTTGGTCCTCCTCGTTGTCTACGACGTCGTTAAGGTCGCCGGAAACGTGGATCCTGCGTTGTAATCCCTCCCCGAAACGGTGAAACCTTAGGGTTCCAGTGATAATCAAGAATAGCAACAAGCAGATCGTGTAACAACATCTACGCAATTCTTTTAACATTGTACCACAGCTAATTAGGTGCTTGCATGTGTGCAGATTTGGGAATGAAGTGCTGGACGTGAAGTGTGCATGTTAGAATCTAGATGTAGAATANATATATATATACTATTATTTTTGAAAAGGGCTAAAATATGAAATATTTCTCAAGTTTTTATTATGTGAGATTCTTGTTACGATGACGGCTCCCCTAATTTATCGAATGATACGCTACAACACAATACTATATTATTAGAATTTGAAATTGGAACCTCCAATTGTTATAGTTATTTATGTATCAACCATTTTACATATCCCCTTGGGACTTGGTAGGATTACTACATTACGTCATTTTGCAAGTGAAATTACAACCATTAGATTATAATTCGGATTTTAGTTTTTCTTTAATTATGACAATACCTTTTCTTTAACCGGATTGGATAGGTGATCGTTTGAACATTCTTACGTATGTGAATACGTGACAATATGAAGGGACAAAATTTGGAGGGTGGGTGCAATTTACCTGTTACAAAGTTGCATGAAAGATCTTTCTCATATAAAAAAACAAACCATTTTTATTGAAATTAATCTCTCCTTAATCTTTTCAACATCTATAGTTTCATGATTTCATCGAAAGAGGGACAAGCAGACGCACATATTATTTCGATTGAGCTTAATATAATAAGATGGCAGTTTAAAAAGTTTAAAGAAATTGGCGAATAGCGAGGATTAGTAGCCAATCACTGAAAGGATCAAAACCCTCAATTAAACGGTGGATTCAACAATGACCTAAGTTTCAATACAACTGATTAGTGTTTTACGACCGAATCATATATATATATATATAACAACAACAACAACACACTAGTGGGGTCTGGGGAAGGTAGTGTGTGCGCATACCTTACCCCTACCCTGGGGTAGAGAGGTTGTTTCCGATAGACCCTCGGCTTCATCTCTCCAAGAACTCCCCACCTTGCTATTGCTCTTGCTCTTGGGGTGACTCGAACTCACAACCGANAGATGCTCAGAGTATTGTTGAAAATTTTCAGGGGATGTTGTTGTCAATGTCTATAAACTATGAAAAAAAGTTTGTTTTTGTTGAAATGAGATCAGTAGAGGAAGCTAGTAATGCCATGGCATTGGATGGCATCATATTTGAGGTACCTAAAATGTGTAATAGCTGATCAGCTAGTTATGATTTAAAGAAGATAAATTTTTTACCTTTTGTGTAGGTGGTTTATCCATTTGGGAGGAAGCAAGGTGTAGAAAATTATAGTTTTAGGGCTATCCCTTGAGTCTTGTTTAGTCCAATAAAATTTTGGAAGCAACATCTTTCATCCCCTTCCCGCATAAGAGCTGATATCTTCAAACCTGTTTCTTTCTCTTTTGTTCGTTTGTTAGTCGTTTATTTATCATTATTGGAGCTTATCAGATGTTACCGGATAATTCTTTATCCAACATCAAGTATATGTTGTTACGTTCAACTGACTACTCTGTGCGCCTCTGTGCACGCATTTTTTGTCCTGGGCGCACCCTGTAAGGTCAGAAGACCGAGTGATTACAATCCTTCTCTGGCTGCTACTCTTGGTCCTAGCCAACCAAACCCAAACCTCAACATGTAATGTTCGGTTCCATTGTGTGGTTCTGATTTTGAGATAAACAATAGTCATCCAGGATAAATGTGTGTTCCATTGAATTCATATCTTCAGTTGACTAAATGTGGGGTTTATGTATATCTTGTGAAAATGATTTACATGCTTCTACATTTCAATTTACTGTAGGCCGAAGAACATGATATGGAGGTGAAACTGGAGGAGTTCTAAGTTGAGGTAGACAATGCTAATGTTGTATTTCAAAGGTCATAGGATATTGTGTTTAAGAAATATTTGATTGTGTTAACGCTTGACTCCTTTATGAGTACAGTTCCTTTTTCTTTTAGAAATTAATATCTTGATCCAACTGAAGTTTTGAAGCTGTAATATGGCAGGTTGAAGAATGAAGACGACTTGATATTCTATCCCAGGGGAAGAGGACAAAACATGTCAAAAACAAGTATAAACGTTTAGGGAGGATGAATTGAAACCCATGGATGCAGAGCAACTGAGAAAGTATGGTCACAAAATGGTGAATTTCATTGTTGATTATTACAAGAACAATGAGAACAATCAAGTTCAGATTTTCACAGCATCTATTAATTATTTCCTAGTAAAAGGTTTAGCCCTAACATGATAGTATTATTTTGGCAGAATTTATGGAGACTTAGCGAGCAAATAGTACTCCATTCTATTCAGAATAAAATTAATAAAGCTCAATCTTGTAATGATACATACATTTTTACTATCTTAGTTGGTTGGTGACCATATCAGATATCATTGTTCAGGATAAATTTTTTGTTTAATTCCGTAAGAATTTGAATTTGTAATGTTTGTCACTATGGTTATTTTTTATGAAATTTGATTTGTTGTGGCGGAAATAAAGTTCCACTATTTTTTTTTAATATTAATATCATATTGTAGCGGTTATAAACCCCACATAATTGTTTTTTAAAAAAATATTTAAATCCTATCGTGGGGGTTTAAAAACGGCCACAATTTTTTTTTGAACCATTATAATCATATTGAGGGGGTTTATAAACCACCGAAGTATTTTTTTTGACACGTTGAAATCATATTGCGGGGGTTCTAAACTACCACCAATTATCTTTAAGAACTCCCACAAATTCAAAATTTATTTTGTGGCGGTTGTCGTGGAGGTTTTAAAAACTCACCACAAAATGCTCGTGGCAAAGATAAATGTGGCACTTCTAGAAACCGCCACAATTCTTTTTGAGGGGGTCAAAAACCGTCACAATTTGAACAATCTCTCCCCCCCTCACCCCCAAAATAAGTGTTTTCTTGTAGTGAGTGGAGGATGCTTACCACTAGAACAACCCACAACTTCTTTACATATATATATATATATATAAGTAAAGAAAAAATTTGATATATATTTTAGAATTTACTACTTAGAACTTGCAACGCCTAAATTTTAAATTTGTTTGTGAGAGAATCCACTTCGGAGACATCATTTCTATTTTACACGCGTATTGTACTGACTTGGCATTGATCATGATAAAATCTACCAATAACATTACATCGATATACGGTAAAATAGAAGGGTATGTGACAAAATACATACAAAATTTTAGTTCTGTCATTTTTGTTTAATCTAACTATTCGAGATTCACTGAACCGGCTAATTTACATTCATTCTAAGTAGGTCATTTTCATGTCAAGACCTTTGATACGATAGAGAAATTCTAATCATTTCACCGTACCCTTAGTGACTTTAACTGTGTCATTCACAGTTGACGCCGCTAGTTTATTATATGGTAGTACTGGCATTAATATTTTAAATAAAATGAAGGATGAAAATTAGTGAGATCATATGTCCCCAATTTTCTATGGTTGTGACTTTTGTATGCAATCAAACAGAGTTAGATTCATTATTTAAACTTTATAGGTTCAGATTAATAATTCTATCATTATTTAACATATTTAATGATTTATTAGGAAAAAAATACAGAGTATGAACGAAACCAGATGAATCCATATCCTCTATACTAAATAAGTCCCCTGATTTTTTTATCAAAAAAAAAAACGTCCCCTCATAAAATCCGCGGTCCATTTCCAATTCTTGGTGTAGAATAAAAGGCTTTTTTTCTTGCCTTATCCAAATGGCACCAATTCAGATCTTGTCATATTTTCCCCTGAAGGTTGAAATTGACATGAACTGGCATTCGGCTGGGGAAATCCAATTGGATTTGAAAATGGAAAATGTAAATAGAGTTTTAACTTTTAAATGGACCACCTCCAACGAGCGACTGTGACATATGTGACAATTCTTTTTTTTTTTGTTCTAATCTAACTATATGGGGCTTATTCTATCTGTTGAAATTCTCTACATTTAATAAATTTAAATTACAAAATGGGACTTTTTTCCCCCTCTCTTTTTGCTTAAAATGGGACTTGGGACAATAAAACTAGAAATTTGCCTTTGAGCATGCAGAAGAGGTGCATGCACTGATTGATTACAATTCAGCCGTCATAGGTGTCCCACATCTATATATGATCTACCATTCTACTTTGCTTGCATTTTGAGATTAAAAAGTGAATTATTTACTTTACTTAAGCATTCCTAAATCCTACTATAATATTTTCTTTTCATCTTTTCTCTTTAACCCGAGGAAAATGAATTTTAAATTTAAGTTAGCACATGAAAATAATGAGTACTCATTGGATCATTTTCTTCATTATTCTTAGATTTTACCACATTTAATGCGGCCGTATTCCCTTTTTCTTCTCTAACTCTATGAACGGAAAGGCCCTCAACAAAGACTCCCGTTTAAAAAATCCATGTGACCTAGTGGTATAAATTAAAGTAGGAGCAAACTCTGAAGATTAGGGTTCAAATTCTAAAAGAAAAAAATATATTAGGCGATCATCCGCCTGAGTCGTGATGTAAAGTTACCTGAATATGTGTTGATTGAAAATAGCAGATACCCAATTATATTATATTTGAGGCCGAGGTGCTCCCGTACACTACAATTATAAAAAAATTAATAAAATAAAAAGTGCATGCCTTTCGGCGAATGGCAATAATACAGATGGCTTTATTTCTCAATATTTTTCAACACAGACGGCTCATTTTATTATTATTTTTTAATTCATTTGCTAAAAACTCGTTCACATGGATGGCGATGGTGATACAACACAGTTGTGAAATCATTCGCCAAATCCTTAGTTTAAGACTTTAAGGCATTTATTCAAAAAGCAAAACAGGTTAAAAGATAGGGAATATATTAATGACAAAAGGTCTAGCATTAATGAGATCTTGAAAATCTTTAATAACAATACTCCAACGTACGTATTCCCTTAGATCACTAGTAAAATAAAAAAATTACGAAGGAATCTAACCATTCTTTAATTATAATTTCTTGTTTAGCTATAATTTCCTACATTCTTTAAATATTTTTACCAGAACAATTGTGAATTTGCAGCATTTTTTTATGTGAATTTCTAAATATATAAATTCTATCAGATTTAGTAAATCAAAATCCATTTTACGAAAAA